CAAAGATAAGAGCCTTGATGCTCGAGGCGCATACTTTGTTGACTGTTGTGCTGACCGTCGACTCACTTAATCCAGCGCCAATTGCGCACTGCTTAGCAGGGTTCTGCCCGAGGCTGGAAATCGTCAGCGCTGGCTGCTGGGTATTGCGCAGAGTACTATTCACTTTGCAGAGAGCACATTGCCCAGAATAACCTCCTCAACATCTTCAGGCTTGACACCGGCTCTCTCAACCGCCGCTAGAATTAAAATCAGTTTGTGACATTGAGGTAAGTGTTCTTCCCCTGACCTTTAATTGCGTGCGATCCGAGCTGTATGGCATTCAGAGAACCCAGAGACCTATCGATTGTGAGCCAATTCAGAAAGTTTGCGCCCTCAGTAATCGAGAAAGCTCACCCTTGGAACATTCCAAGCGGGGTTCTAGCCGCAGAAACAATGTAGACGGGAGTTGGAGGCGCCATGTTCGCTTGTAGTGTTTTGGAAAATGAGGGAAGAGAACTAAGTTATGTCCAGATAGTATGGCAAGGTCAATATTTTCCTCGGGCACTTTTTATATTCCCCGACTCAACGCAAACACGGGCCAAATCCTTCTTTGGTGTCTAGCAAGGGCGACTGGTCGATCGTACGAGCTCATGCGGCAGAATCGCACATCGGTCCGCACCTCCGATCCCGGACAGCCTCCATCCGGCAGGCGGTGAGCGGCGTCGCGGCCAAAAAGTTCCCGCGGACGTGGACCTCAAGTCGCGAACGGACAGCTTGGACGAGACATTGCGCGCAATCATGGACGACCTCTACGACGAGTGAGTTCCGCGCGCTTCTATTTGGGTTATACGCTGATATATGATAGGTTCGGAAACTACATCGGCGAGCCAGAAGAGTCTGAAGAGGAAGATGTTCCACCCACCAACGTCAACCAGTATCTCGACGATGACGAGGAGGAAGAGGCAGAACCGGTGAACGACCAACAGTTGATGGAACTTGATGGTATGAGACACCCGACGCATTTTACCGAGCTTAGCTGATCACGCGTATAGACGATGGACCTTCAAATGCAGTTGTCCTTCACGAAGATAAGCAGTACTACCCAACCGCGCAACAAGTCTACGGTCAGGATGTCGAGACGCTGGTTCAGGAAGAGGATACCCAGTCGCTTGCGCAGCCCATCATTGCTCCTGTCGTTCAGAAGAAATTCACGGTTCAAGAAGATGATTTGCCTCCGGTTTTTTTCAGTCGCGACTTTATGACAGATCTTATGAACTTCCCGGAGCAAGTCAGGAACGTCGCTCTTGTCGGTCACCTACACCACGGGAAAACCGCACTCATGGATATGCTAGTTATGCAGACTCACGACATCAGTGGCCGCCTGGAGAAGCGTCAGGGTAAAGGCAGGGACGATCAGTTGCGGTATACAGACACTCATGTCGTTGAGCGCGAAAGAGGAGTGTCCACCAAATCGGCACCAATGAGCTTGGTCCTGCAAGGCGCAAAAGGCAAATCGCATCTGGTGAATGTTATCGATACGCCTGGTCATGTCAACTTTGCTGATGAGGTGGCATCGGCTATGCGGCTTGCCGACGGTGTGGTGTTGGTGGTGGATGTCGTTGAGGGGGTGCAGGCGACGACAGAACAGGCTATCAAGCACGCTGTACTAGACGATTTGCCTATGGTACTTCTGATCAACAAGATGGATCGGTTGATCGTTGAGCTGCGACTTCCGCCTCAAGACGCCTATTTTAAGCTCAAACATATTGTGGAGGACGTCAACGCGATTATTGAAAACACGATACCTGGCCGGGGCGAATCGCGGCGGCTCAGTCCCGAGCGGGGAAATGTCGCCTTCGCCTGCACCACTCTGGGCTGGAGCTTCACCTTGCCTTCCTTCGCACAGCTCTATGCCGACTCTTACTCCAGCACTCCTATCGATGTCCCCGAGTTCAGCCGGAGGCTATGGGGTGACATATTCTTCACTTCCCGCACCCGCAAGTTCACAAGAAAACCTGTCGATTCTAGCAGCAAGCGTTCATTCATCAACTTTGTCCTCGAACCTATCTGGAAGCTCTTCTCACACACCATCTCAGAAAGTCCTGATGACCTCAAGTCTACCCTCGAAAGCCTCGGAATACACCTTAAGCCGACGCAGCTGCGGTCCAATGCTAAAGATCTACTCAAGCTCGTGTGCGAGCAATTCTTTGGTCCGGCAACTGGCTTTGTCGACATGCTCGTAAAACACGTGCCATCACCAGTAGAAGGTGCAAAGCAGAAACTGGACAAGTACTATACTGGCCCTCAAGATACTCACACAGCCGAAGCAATGTTGAAGTGCGATCAAGAGGGACCGCTCGTCGTTCAAATCACAAAACTCTACAGCACGCAGGACGCCGTCTCGTTCAACGTGTTCGGCAGAGTGCTCAGCGGGACCGCGAAACCTGGACAGCAAGTTCGTGTCTTGGGCGAGGGGTATACGCTTGATGATGAAGAAGATATGGTGACTGCCACAATCGCGGACACCTGGATCGCGGAGTCGCGATATAACATTCCCGTCTCTGGCGTCCCGGCTGGTAACTTTGTTCTTCTTGGCGGTGTTGACAACAGTATCGTCAAGACTGCCACCATCGTTGACCCGAAACTCCCATCAAACGAGGACGCATACATCTTCCGTCCCATTTCTCACTTCTTCGAATCGGTCTTCAAAGTCGCAGTCGAACCCGTGAACCCCTCAGAACTCCCCAAGATGCTGGATGGGCTGCGCAAGATCAACAAATCCTATCCTCTGGTCACGACAAAGGTCGAGGAGAGCGGCGAGCACATATTGCTTGGTACGGGAGAGCTGTATATGGACTGCGTGCTGCATGATCTGCGCAAGCTGTACGCCAATATGGACATCAAGATCTCTGACCCTGTTACACGATTCTGCGAAACTGTCGTCGACACATCAGCGATACAATGTTATGCCTTGACGCCGAACAAGAAAAACAAGCTCACCATGATTGCAGAACCCCTCGATGACGGCATCGCGCAGGACATTGAAGCCGGCAAAGTCAACATCCGGGATCCCGTCAGAGTCGTAGGCAAGTTCTTCGAGCAGAACTACGGCTACGACCTGCTAGCCTCGCGTAATATCTGGGCATTCGGCCCGGACGACCAAGGCCCTAACATCCTACAAAACGATACCCTACCATCCGAAGTAGACCAAAAGGTCCTCAAATCCGTGCGCGAGACAATCCGGCAAGGCTTCTCATGGGCCACGCGCGAAGGCCCTCTCTGCGAAGAACCTATCCGCAACACGAAGTTCAAAATCACCGACGTCCAGCTCGCCGACCAAGCTATCTTCCGCGGTGGAGGACAGATCATCCCCACCGCCCGCCGCGCCTGCTACAGCAGCTTTCTCATGGCGTCGCCGAGGCTTATGGAGCCTATTTACTCGTGCAGCATGATCGGCCCCGCTAACGCGGTGGGATCGTTCTACACCGTCCTCGCCCGGCGCAGGGGTCACGTCTTACAGGATGTGCCTATCGCAGGCACGCCGCTGTATACCGTCAAGGGTCTTATCCCCGTCATCGACAGCTTCGGCTTTGAGACGGATCTACGCATGCACTCCCAGGGCCAGGCAACGGTCAGTCTGGTATTCGACCGGTGGAGTGTCGTGCCTGGAGACCCGCTTGATGCGTCGATTAAGCTGAGGGCACTGGAGCCCGCGACGGCACAGGCTACCGCGAGGGACTTTGTACTCAAGACGAGGAGACGGAAGGGCTTGGCGGAGGATATTACTATTAGCAAGTTCCTCGAGCCGGAGCTGTTCAAGAGTCTGAAGGAGAGCGGGATCCTGGATGGGTCGAGTTGAGCCTGTAGGGTTGTAAGATAGAGAAAACTTGGTGCCGCAAGTGCGGCTTAATGAAAAGTAATGATACTAGACGAGTGAAGTTCCTCTGATCCCCTAATGATCCTATGGCCTATACCCAAGTGCTTCGTTGCGATTGGCTGACTTCTCCTTTGTCGTCGTTCGAGTCTACCTGCAAGGCGTGATAGCATCCAGAACAGTGGTAACGACTCTCGAAGCACTCGGCCAAGAACTCCCGTCATCTGGTGCTCGGCAATGGCCTTTTCTGCGGATCGTCGAGTGCGCATTCCACTTCGCCACCAGTAGCAAACGTTTAGATGAACAGTCCCCACCTTTCTTGCCCTATAGTAGCAACTACGTTGTCCCATCTGTTGGTATACACTTAGTGTTGTGTATAGGTGTGATATGTTCAAAGTCAATGAAGGTTTTCGGAACCTGCTTAGGCGTAGGGAAGAGCGGGTTGATTGTCTGACCAGAAGGGAAGTGGGCAGGATTGCGGAACTTTAGGGATCCAAGCCCCACGTCTGCTAACCCCCGTCGCTTGATGATCAACCAGGTCCTCCAGTAACACACACAAATGCTTTTCTTCCGCCGACAAATAAATTGCGAGGCACAGTAACCCATAGGTTTTCTGCTGCGTCTGTACAACAAAATAATCACAGATTTATCGAAATCAAAATTCACCCAGGTGTCGCAAAAAGTGTCATACCAACAGCCCGACCCGGTGACCAAACGCGGGATGGGTAGGTATACCAGCTTCATAATCCATCTAAGTGAATGATGACCATTTGCCACGGCTTGTGCATCAAACATACAGCTTCGTCCGAGGATCCTCGCGGTATGCCTAGTGCTCACTCAGGGTGAACGAAGTTCCAGCCAGATGATTGGTATATGGATGAATAGGCTATTGAGAGTATGTGACTTAGCGTCCGCTCGCGCAGCTGTATGCCAGGTGTTCGGGTGCTAACGCCCTTGCAGCAACGAATTCCAAAAGCAATGTTAGGATTGGCAACGGCTCGGAGCTAAGGGCCTAGTGCACGTGTGCATGCAAAATAAAAATGCAATCCACTTCTGCACATACATATAACGCATCGACAAAAGATTGCGCGAGGCTGGAGCCCGTACAGGATGGAAAAAGACAAAAAAGATGAGTTTGTATAGGAATAGCCGGCGGTGGGGCTCGAACCCACGACCTTGAGGTAGTCTCTTTTTGAATTAAGAGCCACACGCTCTACCGATTGAGCTACGTCGGCAAGACGTCTTTATGATCAAGTGGAAGCGATGAGAACTTATTCTCAATATATATCAAAAATCAAAATGCGTCAAGGAAGTTCTGTGACTTCGCCGTACCCGAAGATTTACAACGTGCCCACAACAGCGACCGAACGAACAAGCAGTCGCTTTGTCCGCTTCCCACGAGAACGTCACCTGCGTTTCCCCTTTGGTTGTACAATTCTTGTCCTAGACTGTCATACTTTGCATCACGAGTATTCGTCCTCGTAGAATAAGATCCTAGCTTCTATACAGCAATACTCCAGTTTCCTCTGCCATCCGATTGCTACCGCGCTCGCCGGTTGCAATGGCGCGCACGCCAACTTGCGCTGCTACGCAAGGTATGTCACATGTACCGGCTCGTGAAGACGATGGCGGTCGTCGGATCCGTCCAGTCATAGCAGCCTTGCGCTCGCTCCAGTATCGACGCAGGCTTTGCTACCATAAATGGCGCATCGCTGAAGGACGGATGCTTATTGCAATGGTTGCATGATGCACCCCGGTCTGGCAATTCATCAAGATCGTCTGCTAATCACCTGTGGCGTAAAATTTGTCTCTCGGTGTGTGACGCAGGGTATGCACCGAAATGCCGCCTTCAGGAGCCAACTGTAGGCCAGTCTAGCCATAGAGGACCCATAGGGCTTTCGGAGAAGCAAGTATTAGGCTGGAACATGTATATCACTGATCAAGATTCAAGATTCAAGATTCAAGATTCAGTCCATTGCTGCGGAGTTACATACAGAAGCGCAATATGCATGGAAAATGGAGACGGAATTTAGAAACGGTGATTGCTATGCTATCTACTGTGACTTTTTTGAAGGTGAGCCATGACTCTTTTACTGTCTTTGGAGTGTTTTTGGTGGCTATAAAGCCCTGCAGGAGATTTCAAACGAAAAAGTAAAACAGGATGACCTAGGCCTGTCTCTGGAGACGTTGCTTTCAAACTGGGAGCTGCATGACAATGTCGGAAGTAGTCAAATCGTTTGGGAAAAGAGGCGATCTGCAGGGCTCTGAGTCATCTATCTCTGCAGGAGACGCAGGAGTATGGTCAACAGAACAGGAAAAAGACCGCAGACCAAGATCAACATAATCAGAGTACCTCGTTCACCAGTATTCGGCGGAGACGAGGAAGAGGTCGATGCCACTGCAGGTTTGCTATTTTCTACAGCATGTCCAGCTAAGGAAGAGGGCATACGAAAGGTGTCGTATTTGGGAAGCTGTTCACTCTGTGTGAAATACCGGGACTTCATCGTCCCGACTGCGGGGATCATAGAGAATGGTACGCAGTCGAGAGACCAGGGGCCATCAGCGAAGAGCTTTCCAGAGAAGGTAGCGTCGGCGACATGTCTCTGCAGGACTGCAGGTCTGGTGCTGGGATCCTCGTCTACTGTATATGGTCCTTGATCTCCCCAGCATTCTGCAGCATTGTGACAACGGTACCAGTCGTGAGGGAACTCATACGAGCTCCACCAACTCCGGATCTGCTGTGCATTCCACTTCATCACCGTCTTCGAACCAGACTCTGCGGCCCACTGGTCGAATATCTGCTTAGCTAGAATCTCGCCAGGAAGAAGACTGGCATAGTCGATAATTGTCGGAATGTGCACTTTGGACAGGTCGATCTGCGCATCGGGATAGGTCATCCACTCCTGTCGACCGCTGTGTCTTTGCATATCTCTGGTATCCATGCCATCCATCTTCCTCTTCATTGGGACATCAGTGAAGCCTCCGCAGAAGGGAATGGCTCCTTTCCACCATTTGACCAGCCACTTCACACCATCGCTTCCTTCTACTTTCTGAAGAGCAGGCCGACCGAAGTTCTTCCGCGCCTTTTTCACCCAGCCATCAGCATTGAAGATGTTCGGCCAGAAGTCCCTCAAGCTTCGTTGAGATATCCTGTTCTGCGCAACAAGATCCAGTATACCTGCCAAATGGCAGTCTTCCATGTTGTAGACGTAGAGTGGGACCATTGTCCCTGCATAGCCTGGAATGCCCATCTGTGCGAAGTACAGATACTTCCGCGGAATGGTCTTTTCGAAAGTTCTTATCCCGTCATCAAGCTGAATCTTGATATTATCATTCTTGCACATCTTTTCCGTGACTTGCGGGGTCCAAAGGGCAAGTACTTTGCCAAAGTCTGCATCTGGCTCGTAAACATGCCCTGCAGGGAGGATCGATACGCATCTGATGGCCATGGTGTAGTTGTGGCTCCGCGGAGGTCGACTTGATGATTGACAGAAGTAATATGGAGAAAGAGAAGTCAAGTGGGAATTGGGAGATGCTACATCACTTCACGGAGAAAGCGGAGTTGAAGCACAGAAGTGAAAGTGGAGTTTGTGTGTGAATCCGGTAGGTGGACAAAGATTCCATGGAAGTGGCTGCAGTGACGAGACACCCTGACTTCACCGTTCACAGTTGTGAGGAGATTCGGGCGAGGTAGCGAAAAGAAGGTCTTACTTTCTGCAATGCCCGCGGGTTTGGCGCCGAAGCTGCGTATCTGGGTGCACTTGGAGACCCCCGGAGAATAGCCCCATCAGATGCCATAACAAGTGTGCTTGTAAATTCACACTCAAATTCTTGCTTGATCACTGCAGGATCGGCCGCGGTCTTGGAGGGCTAGTCACACTGCACACAGGTGTCGGATCTTGTGGGGTGAGTGCGTCTCTAGATGCACTCCGTGACGTCTCCCAAAGCGCCTACAAGTATGCCCACAGTCTAGTAGGGCTGACCACATGGGTAGTAGCATTAGACAAAATCATACAGTATGATAGGAAGGATGCCGATCGAAATTGCCAACTGACATACCCGTTGGCTCACAGGGCTCATTGTGCGCGTGACAGCAAGGCCAGTCATAGAGCAATTGTGATGACTTTCCGCGGAATTGATTGTAGGCTGGTGGCATCGGGAATGGCTGTCCGGCTTGGATGGTAGACGCCTACCAATGTGTGCAGCAGCTACCCACCTAGTCCCTGGTGGTCTTGCGCGGCACATCGAATAAGTAGCTGTGAGATTAGTCGTAGGGCTACTCTCACACAGCTGCGACGGGTGTAGCAGACCTCCTTGCAGGGGTGACTGATTTAGGGGTCCACGGTGGCAGCTGCCACATTGTTCGGATGGAGTCCGTCAAGAGCGTTCCAGGAGACACCAGGCAGTATTATTGGCACCACCCAATCTGTGGTACTCGCATGGCATCTGAGCGAGTGCCAGTCGGACACTGACATCCCACCTCGAAGAGTGCTGAGATAGATCCAGCCTGGTCAAGAGGCGGACGGGACACACTGGATGTAGCGTATCAAGCAGTCGCGCATCAGTGAGTAAGCGAAGGACTGCGAGAACGTTCAGAAGACGCTCGGTAACGGCTTGAGTAGAAAAGGGAATCAGAGAAGACGCACCTCACAAAAGAGCACCTTTGAAGTAGCAGCTATGTCAAATACATCGGCTTTTGAGCTTCCCCTACTTGACCGATTCGAAGCGTCACAGAGATTCACCACACATGTGTAGTGATATAGATAGAGCCATTTTCAATACTAAAAGCATCAGAAAAAAGTAATCACGCCCTCTTGCATGTTCTACCAAGAAGGACTGCAGCTGATGCGGCACAAGTTTTGGGTGTGCTCGAACGTCAGACGTATCGCTGAACGAACCAAGAGTGTTCTACCGCTCGCACTAACTGACCGCTTGCGCTGATTCTGGCTTCCGTAAATGGAAAGCATACAGCCTCCACTGACAGAAAGTTGTTGTCCGGTATGGCTATCACTAAGTGCGTCAATCAGAAGCTCCAGACCGTCAACATGTGGATGGAATGGGCAGTCCTTAATGCGTTCGAGACCTTTCGGATGCCTCAGAGATGGCGGCACGCTTTGCAGGCCCTTACATGGAAAGACCTGGGGAGTTATCCGATTGAAGGCTTGGTCTGCCGTTATCGCCTCGGCCGGAACATGAATTCTACTGAGAAAGTTGTTGTGGAAATCTCCGCCTGATAATGAATGCGTCTAGCCAGACACTGATATCTATTTGCGAAAAGAAAAGCCCAGCTCGAATGTATTTATGTTTTCGCAAATTTCGGGGAAATAGGGATTGAGCGACCGTGCAGTTGGAGTGCGCCGAATGAGACTCAAGGATGTTGTTGACAAAACCTGCCGGGGACGACTATGCAGTATAGTTGATTTGGACTATATATGATCATTAAGTCTTTCATGACATCAACTTGATCACAAAGACGTCTTGCCGACGTAGCTCAATCGGTAGAGCGTGTGGCTCTTAATTCAAAAAGAGACTACCTCAAGGTCGTGGGTTCGAGCCCCACCGCCGGCTATTCCTATACAAACAAATTTTTTTCTTCGCACAAGCCCTCTCGGAGACTCTCGACTGCGTCGATTCGTGTTTTGAAAGTGTTTGTCTCAGGTTATTTTTTTTTTTATTATACGGCTCTTTGCTTCTGGTCCCACCCGTAAGGCTTTATCGCCGTACCTATCAAAACCTTCAGGCTAAATCGAAAAGTGCACCAGCTACCTATATGGCCTGTCAACACACCTGTCGCAACGTGATAAGGCAAGGCCGGAACCAGATTCGGAAGCGCTGAACGATGCGTAAGGCATCATGATATGCTCTTAACAGAGTATTATTACCAAAGTCACAAACAAGAAGCGTGGTCACGGCACATCGAACGGCGCAATGAGTGTCCGGACTCTGGCAATATCGACGTCCGTCCGCCAGGATATTTGTATGCATCTACTTTACCTTATGGTAGCAGCAACGTCTACTTCCCGCCCTAGAGACGCATACCATGGCGGAGAGGCTCCCCACGAAACTATAAGCATGTATCTTACTGAGTGCGACAACAGTTCATTGACGGCATGCATTACTACCCGTCATAACGTTTCACCTCTTCATGGGTGAAGACCAAACTTTTGCGGTATACATTACCACACTTGCAGTCCTTCTCTTTTCAATGGAGAGAAGCATTGTGGCAACCTGTCGA